CAAGATTAACATGCAATTAAGCCTAAAGTAGGGCCCTTCCTGGCCGGGCGGCTCAGTTAATTGTAGCGTTATCCCCAACACCAAAAGGTTGTAGGTTCCATTTCTGGCAGGGCACATACCTAGGCTGTGGGTTCAATCCCCAATCAGGGCACTTACTGGAGAAAACCAATAGATGGATGTTTCTCATATCAATGCCTCTCTTCTTTCTCTCTCTTTTCGTTAAATCAATAAAAGCATAACCTCCAGTAAGGGCTAAACACAAAACAAAACATGAAGTAGGTAGTAAGGGGACAGAGGCTGTGTGGGAAGACAGAGAAAAGGGAGCCAATAAGAACTGAGAGATACAGCTGAACCATCATCTCTCAGAGGTAATGGGCCTCTGCCCACCCGCCCACCCCAGTGACAAGACCATTAGCTGTGGGGATCAGACAGGCAGTGCTTTCCATAAGCAGCCTGGGAGTGCACACCAACCAACCCTACACCGAAAGCTTTTTGCCTGAACTATGTGACTTGTTTCTGTGGCCCCCTTCTTTTTCAAGAACACTTTTCCTCTCTCCATGAAGTCTGAACCATGGAAATGCAGGACACAAAATAAAACAGCATACTAAATACAACAGCTACATGCTGGCTACAAAAGATGTTTCCATCATTTTCTACCTCAACGGACAGAAATGTTGGATTCCGATTAACTTGGGGGGGGGGGGGGTGCTCCCATAGGCACGGCAGCCACAGACCCTCTTCCTCACCCCAGGCACACACAGGCTGGATCAACACGTGACCTCCCCCAGCATCAGTGCAACAGGGCTGCAGGCCGCGTGCTTCCCACCCCCACATCCTGGATGTAACGTCTGTGGTTGGCTGTTGAAGCTCATGGGGAAACGAGTGTCCTTTTGTATAAAGGTGCTCTCATGCCAACAGATTGCCTCATTTGCAAATCTTTGGACATAATGTCTCGTGGCCACGAGTTAAGCAAATATGGAAAAGATATTTGACATACCATCTTTGATTCTCTAGACTGGTTCATGCCAAACATGGAGGACATCTTTTTGCTTAAAATAATGAACATTTCTTCAAAACTAAGCAGAAACTCACACACACAAAAAAAAGCCCCCTAATCCCAGTCTAGTGGAAGGCATAAATATGTATATAAAACATCTTATGATGTAACCAGGAACTATATGTATTTTAAAAGTTTGTCTTCTTTTGCCTCTTATAAATTAGTTGATGGCAGATGTCTTCTCTACGAACTTATATCAAAATCACTCTTCTGTTCTGAATAATAAAGTTAACACTATAGAGAGATTTCACAGAAATCTTCAGGAGCTGAGTAGATTTAAATTATTATACAGCTATTTGTAGTGACAATCAAGTACTAGGAAAAATAGGTTAGCCAACAGCTTTAACATGGCCCTGCGTTACAAAACTAGAGGCAGAGGTTAAAATTATAATCTTCATTTCACCAGAGTCTCCTCTCCCACAGTTGGAAATTACAGTTATTTCATAAAAGGCTGTGTACTATCAGCCTACTTCTGGTAACCTTTTGAAAGGCTTATGTTACAATGACTTCAACTTTCCTTTGGTATAGTAAACATTTTTTTCTTGATATAAAATCACTGCAACCCACTTTAAATGTATGTAATAACCAAAAATTGCTGAGACATATTTAAGTGATATTGGGTGTCTGGCATGAAATACATTGAATTGATTTCTACACACCCTTAAGTATTCATATCTGTAGCCTATGGAGGGAAGGATGAAGGAGAGGAAAATATATTTAATTTTCCTTAAATTTATCTACCTTGTTTGACTTGATAGATCTAGCATAGATTACACCTGTAATCTATAATAATAAGAGTAATATGCTATCAATAATTAGACCAGATGTCCTTCCAGATGACCTTCCAAATGAAGGCCAGGTCCCAGGTGCCAAAGGGAACAGGTGCCAGCAGCTGGGGAAAGGAAGGCCTACTCTTCCATGAATTTCATGTATTGGGCCTCTAGTTATAAATAAAAAGATGAATTTTATGATGCTTCATCATGCTCTGTTTCCTGAGTCCCTCAGTCTAGACCAAGTTAGCTTTCTTTCTAAACTGAGATGTACTAATGGCACAGAGGGACAAACAAAGCTCAGTGTGTCATTTCCATTTGGGTTTTTTCCATTATTTATTCACCATACTCAATATAAACAGTTACACTTCACTATAATAATCAAGAGTACTTTCCAATGAAACAGACTGCTAATTTTAAACCTTTTTAAAATTTGTTCCTATGATTTATATTTTTATGTAATCACTAGAGGCCTGGTGCAGCCCAGCCTGCCCCCTCTCACAGTCTGGGAACCCTCAGGGGCAGGAGGCGACCCGGTGATCAGGGGAAGGTGATGCTCCATCACACCTCTGCTGCTGCCACTGCTGACAGCCCAAGCTTCGGCTGGCCCTGGTTACCTGAGCCTCAGGAGGCCCTAGGCGACTGGGCAGCTGCCATCTGAGGCTTGTCTGTGCCTCAGGCTGGCCCTGAGAAGCTGGGGGACTGAGGAGACTGAGGGACATGGAGTGTGGGCCTGGCCTTGCCATGTGCCTGCCACCCTTGAAGGGCTGAGAAAACTGGGTGCCGCCATCTTGTGGTGGTGGGCACCACCATCTTTGAGGGAGTGGCAGGCGATCAGAATATTCCCTTCTTATTGGCTGTGGGCACCACTTTCTTTTAGGGCAGGGCAGCAATTAGCATATTCCCTCCTCATAGGCTGTGGGCGCTGCCATATTTGAGGGCAGGTCAGTCAATTAACATATTTTCTCCTAGTTGGCTGTGGATGCCACCATCTTTGAGGATGGAGCAGTCAATTAGCATATTCCCTCCTTACTGGCTGTGGGCACTGCCATCTTTGCGATGGCCTGAGGGTCAATTAGCATATTCCCTCTTTATTAGATAGGATGATTTACTACTAAAACCTGCCAATAACATTATATTTAACAGCTGGAGTCAGCAGAGGGAAAGTGCATTAATCTGTATAGGTCTTGCAAATCAGAAAACCTGGGTTTGAACTTGAACTTCCTGTGGGAGAAGCAGGCGGAATACCTTTGAGGTTCAGTTTTCTCTTTTATACAAAAGGAAAACACTATTTGCTCCCTCCATAAGGATGCATATCTAATAAATTGTTCTCAACTGAATGACAAGTAAAGCTGAACCACGGAGTAAAATCCCCTCTGTTCATGTTGTCTCTAATCAACAAGTTATCACGTTCTATGAATTTTTAAATGAGCAGTGATTATAACAGATGATTCATAAAAACAATTTAACTGTCTGGCTACAGATGAATGGAGATATGATGTTCACGTGCGCGTCCGTGCGCGGGGTGTGTGTGTGTGTGTGTGTGTGTGTGTGTGATATAAAGTAACAGCATTCGGCCATGAGAAAGAAGGAAATCCTGCCATTTGTGACACCATGGATGGAACCTGAAGGCATTATGCTAAGTGAAATAAATCACACATACAAATACAAATACTGCACATATATGTGGAATCTAAAACAGCTGAACTCATAGAAACAGAATGGGGGGTTGGAGATGTTGGTCAAACTTCCAGTTATGAATAAGTTCTGGGGATCTAATGCACAGCACTGATTATAGTTCATAATACTGTGTCATATACATTAAAGATGCTAAGAGTAGATGCTCAAATGTTCTTAGCTTAAAGAGAAAGAGAGAGAAATGGTAATTATGTTATGTGATGGAGATGCTAAGTAAAGCTCGGGTAGTAATCATGTTTGCAATATATGGGAATCAAGCCAACACATTGTACACATTAAACTTATACAGTGTTACATGTCAACTATATCGCGATAGAAATAAAAAAATAATAATTAAACAAATACATTAGCAGTATCAAGGCTGCGAAAGGAAGAAAACACACACACACACACACACACACACACACACACCTAACTCCTAAAATTAAGTTACTTTCTAAAGTTATTAGAGAAGACTAGGGCTTTAAGACATGAACAAGAACTGATGTGTTTTAAAGTGATCTGCATCCAGGAAACTGAGGCGGAGTCTGTGGAGCCGACCAGCACGATAATTTAATTGCCAGTCTCCCGGAGGGACCCAAGGTCTCCATCACTGTCTGAGAGTGTTCTCTTGAGACCTGATTTTCTCCGGACCCTTCCAACTGCTCTCCCCCTTCCCCGCTTCCTCCTACCCTTTTGTTAGCTTTTAAGCAGCTCTCCATCCACCCTTTCTACAACTTACTTTACGCATTTAAACAAACAAACAACAACAACAACAAAAAAACTCTAATTAGGAATGGGTTTGCCCCGCCCCACAAGCTCCAGGGGCCTTCTGGGCTCTGGGAAATGCCTGCGGTCCACCCACCTAAGGGCTTCCACCTCTGATTGCCACCTCGCGGGCTCTGCGGATGAAAGGAGGCCGCCGGCCCGCGGCCACAAATCAGTTCCCCGGCCCCAATCCTGCCCCCAGAGCCCGGCATCTGCCTCCACCTTCAGAGGATTCCGGCGGTCACACCCCGGTCCTCCCAGCCCCAACCGGCTCCCCCCAACCCGCCTCCAGGCTCGCCGCCCGCGCCGGCTTTGCAGAAACCCCGGCGCTGGTTCGAGGCGGAGGAAATGACCCAAAAGTTGTCGTTTCTGAGTCAAGACTTGCGCGCGCAGCGGCGCCCCCGGGTCTCCCGTGACTGTTCCCGGGCTGCGTCCTTCCCGGTCCAGAGTCTGATCCCGGGGCCCCTGCGCGCCCCGCGCCTCCCCGGCCTCCGCGAGCGCAGCCGAGAGGCGACCCCCCGGCGTCCGCATTGCGGACCCCGGACGGCGGCGCGGGCTTCCTTCTCCCGGCGCCGGGGGCTCCTCGGAGCGGCCGAGGGTCCCCGCCACCCTCCCCGCGGTGGGTGCCGCGCCCACGCGCCGTCCCCAACTTCCCCCGCGTGGGCTCGGGCTCCCGGGCGGGGGCGCGGGGCCGGCGCACCCACCACGGGAGGGAACCCCTGGCTCACCGATATCTCCATCCTCGTCGTCCTCCTCGTCCAGCTCCAGGTCTAACAGCACGTCCCTGGTCATCATCGCTGCCCCCGGAGGCGGCTCCGAACTTGGCACCAAGTTGGGGGCTCCCGGGTCCAGGAACGACGCAGCTGTCGCGGGCGGGCCCGGCGCCCGAACGGGGACTGCGGGGCGGGTCTGGCTCCCCGATCGGGGGCCGCTGCGCCCAGCCCAGCCCGCGCTCCGGGAAGCCGCTCCGCCGCCGATCCGAACCCAGCGCCCAAGGCTACCCGCGGCCACTGAGCATGCCCAGTGCGCTCGGCTGCGGAGGGAGCGCCTTCCTTCCCCCGCTCGCCGGGCGCTGGGGAGGAAGTCGGGAGGCAGAGGGAAGAGGGAGAGGTCCGGAGGCAGAGGGTGTGCTCGCCTTCTGCAGGCTGGTGACCTCCTGGAAGGGCGAGGCGGGAGCACGCGGGGGTGGGGAGTGGGGGGTGCACAGCTCTCCAACGCTGCCCCCGGGCGCGGCAGCTCTCCGTCCTAAGGTCACAGGGACACACGTGCACGGGGCTGGCTTTCTTTGATGCTGTTACTGCGGAGGGGAGGACCCTGAGGGCCAGCCCATTGGAACGGTGCTTCTAAAAGGCGACGTGGAGCCCATGGAGGGTCTTCAAGCATCCATGTCTCTGGCTCGAAAGGGGATACGAATATTCCGTAGGGAAAGCGGGGAGGGGGATGACAGAGGAAGGGGCAAAACTCGTAGATGATAACACGCAACACCAGAAAAAAAGAAAGAGCGAGATCTAAAGAAGCATACGCTCTTCAAAGGCAGGAGGATTTCCGCCCAAAGTGAGGTTAGCGAGGGAGAGAAGCGCCCCCTAGCCCCGCCCGCGGAGCGCGCAGGGAGTGGTCCGGGGATGATCGCTGAGTGTCCTCCCATAAAGGGCCTGGGCACGCTTAGTCCTACGTGTCAGAAAGGCACAGGAAACCAAGACCTCCACCCTGTCAACTCCGAGGTCGTGTGAAAAAAAAAAAACAAAAACAAAAACAAAAAAAACTATAACCCGAGGAAATCAAGAAGGGGCTGAAATAAGATTGAGGAGAAGAATGCATTCCTGGAGACCAAAGGGAACAATAGGACACATCCGAAGGGATTCTGTGTTGAACACACATGGCGCAATTGGAACTGCAGGCTCCCAGGATCATGTTTCTGTGGATTTTTTTTTTTTTTTTTTTTTTTTTTTTTCCTTTCAAGAAGGCTGGTGAATTTAGACGGGTCAGTTTTGACTTCTCAAAAGGGCTAGACGTGTATTTGAAATTCTTATAGTCATTATCTCTCTAAGACTTCTCATTGAAACTTTTTATATTTTTTTCCCACTGAAGTATTATAATAACTAGAGGCCCGGCACATGAAATTCATGTGCAGGTATGGTTCCTAGGCCTGGCCTGCAATCAGGGCCATCTTCCCCAGCTGCCTGCAGTCACACACATACCCCACACTCCCCACTACCACCACCACCACCATCCACCCCCAATTCCCCCATCCCCATCCGGTGATGGCGAGCTGGGGGAAAGTACTGAGAGGTCAGCTGTTCCTGCCTGCTTGCTGCCCCACCCCCTGTGGAGGGTGGCCATCAGGCCATCGAGCCTGCAGGCCAGGAAAAGAGACCAAAAGGTGGTCAGTGTGCCTCAGAGTGACTGATCCAGTGGTTGTTCTGCCATTAGGGTCAATTTGCATATTACCCTTTTATTATATAGGATTACGAGAACATTAAAGCTTCTGTGCATTTTATTTTCCCATACACATATTTTTTATGTTTTTATGTGAAAGAAATAAAATATTGAGATGAATCATAAGTGGGAAAGCAGCCATGATTATGCATTTTAAGACATGAAGAAATTGCTTTTAAGAAAATATCCAGGAAACACTATACTTACTTCTTAGGAAAACTTTCTGAATAAAGAAATTTCCTTTTAGTTTAAAGGGAAAATTATAATACTTTGAAGATGGGTGGGGGAGGGAAAGATGGAAGAATACACCAAAAAAGGAGAAGAAAAAACTGGTGTGTATGTGTGTGTGTGTTTTAGAGAAAGGAAGGAGAGTGAGAGAGAAACATTGATCAGCTGCCTCCTGCACAGCCTCCTACTGAGGATCCAGTGACAACCTCAGCATGTGCTGACCCAAATCAAACCAGCAACCTTTCAGTGCAGAGGACAACACCCAACCAAATGACCACACTGGCCAGGGCAAAAAATGTTTTATTTTAGTGAATTCTCTCTCCCCAGCACTTGTGGGATCTCCTGTAATAGAAATTCCAGAGCTATTTTAGTAACGTGATCTGTTTTCACTATTTTCACTTAACAAGTGCATATACAGTGCTTTTTATGTGGTAGGTGCAGTTCTAAATGTCTTACATTTAGTTATTTAATTCTCATACCAACCCTAGGAGTCATTACCACACTCAGGGCAAGGGAGTAACTTGTCCAAAATCACACAGGGAGTAAGTGGCAGGGCTAGGATTCAAACCCAAGCAGCTTGTTCCAGAATCTGTTCTTAGCCATGTTATAAACCACTTCCAAAGACATTTCTAAATCTGTTAAACACACACACACACACACACACACACACACACACACACAATACACACACAAAATACACACACAAACAAACACCCTCCCTACCAATTCCAAACTCCCAAGTGCTCATCAACTCCCATCCAGAGTTTTCTCATCAAATGGTCTGGTGTTTATGGCCTAAGACTTCGTTCGAAGTTAAGTAGTAGTTAGAAAACTCCTGTGGTTGATTTTGCAACAGGTTTGAGTGAGTCATCTGAAATTCTTCACAGATTTTAGAGTTTACATTTTTTCTTGCTTGATAAATGCTGCAGAGAGACTCTGCTGGCCTTATGTAAAAAGGTAACTGTGGCAGGAAGGGAAGTGAATTATTTACTTGGGTTAGCTGTGAGTCTATTATTAGTAAGCGCCGTTATTTCATTTAACACATTTTCTTCCTTGCAGTTTCTCTCATGAATTTTTTTTTTCAACCAAGTAATATTTGCTTCAAAAATAATCAAGGTAATAGGACAGATGTTTGTAAGAACCACACCTATGACACTGAAAAATGTCAGATGTATCATGAATAGTTTATGAAATAAAACGTTCTTAATATGTGGCCGGGTTATTGGATTTGCAAAGCTTTTCCAAGTCAGAGATCATAGGCCAAGTATTTTCTGCGTCATTGGTCTCCTTCATTGTTTGGTTACCACCTTTGACTGGCCACAGGGTGTGCTTTCTCTGCCCATCCCTTGAATCTTGGTGTTTCTCTGGTTTCATTCCTTGGGTCCCTTTTAAACTCATTCAGTCTTAAAACTTGACTATCTAAAGCAGTGCCAGGTTCATAGGCATTCAAACATGGCATTCACACAGGGTCCTGCACGCAAACAGGCTTAATGCTTGGGGTCTTAATGCTCTGTGGCTGCTGGCTTGAAATTCTTAATAATGTCACCTTTTAATTTCATTTTGTAAGTGAAGTTCAAAGAGACAGTAGAGCTTGTGTGAGTTCACATGCAGTCTTGCCTCCGTGGGGTGGGTTCTCAGTGCCAACTCCCCTATTCCTTGGCACCTCAGCCCTGCCCATCCTCCCCTTTGCCCCACTCAGGACCAGGATCACCAGGGCCTGGGGAGACCTGGGCAAGGGCACAGGGAAAGTCAAGGTCATGTGTATGTATCCATGGTATCTTAGGGTGGAGCATGGTGGCATCTATCTCTGCCCTAGACTGGCAGTGTCACAGGGTACCCAGAAGTGACTCAGTGGAGAGGAGCCTCTTGCCCATCCCCTGTACTTGTGCATCCTGGTAGGGAAGTGCCAATCTCCTAGATGTTGCTCCTCCAATGTAATTTGGAGCATAGAGTTCATGAGAAGAAAAGATACTTGGCTCAACTTTCCTACCCTCAGCCAGAGCATGGTCTGTCAGTGCTACGGGTTGGTGAGGGGGAGGGGGAAAGGTGGCAGCTGATGGATATCAGGCAGTCTTTGAACAAGGGACCCTGCATTTATATTTTGCACTTTGCCCTATATTTTGCCCTTGGCCCTGAAAATTGTATAGCTGGCCCTGTTTCTAAGATCCTACTTTCTATTCTAGATCTGTCTTCTGTGTTACAAATGGTATATCTGCCTGCATGTAGGATATCTCCATTTGGATATTTGTTAGACCTTTCAAATTCAGCAGGTCCTAAACTATATTTATAATCTCTTCCCCAAACCTGTTTTCCTAAACCCAGGAAACTAGTTACACAAACCAATAATTTGAGAATCATTTTGACTCCTTCCTCTATTTCTTATCCTTCACATCTAATCAGTCACTACATCTAGTTGCATCTACCATATCTCAAGCACATCCTGTATTATCTATTGTTGCATTGCTGTATAACTGCATCGTATGGCATTTTAGCAGAGACCTGATGGAAGTGAGAGAAGACATGCAACTCACTGAGGGAATGGAGGCTAGGCAGAAGGAAAAGCAAATGCAAAAGTCTGGAGGCAACTGTGACATAATATGTTACCCCCAAACAAACTTGTATTATATCACACAGCTTCTGTGGCTCAGGAATTTGGGAGCAGCATAGTCGTGGGGTTCTGGCCTGAAAGCTTGAGAGGTTTGAGATCTGCTTAATTAAGATAATTCACTCTCAGAGCAGTTCACTCCCCAGTGGTGCTGCTTGTCAGCAGGAGCACTGTTCCTTCCCACAGGGGCCTCTCCACAGGCTGCTGAATGTCCCCATGACACCAGGAGCAATCCACGGGAGAAGGCGAGGTGGACGCCACAGCATCCATTATGACCTAGGCTCTGGAATCACACACTGTCATTTCTGCCATCAGTTCCAGGGGTCAGTCCGCTGTACTCACTGTGGACGGGGCTTACACAAGAAGAACATGAATAGCAGAGACAGGGACTGTTGGGAGCCATCTTGGAGGGTTGGGGCCACACATGTTCAGTGTCACTGTTGTTAAAATGGAACAACAGGCCAAATTGGACTCACCTTTGGTAAGCCACACCACCAAACTAAAATGTACTAACTAACCTAATTGC